TATGTTTTGTGAAAATCAGTGCTGCTTTTAGAAACTTTGATTTTTGCCTCAAAGGCAGTGTCAGATCAGGAAATATGGGGATACTTGAGAAAATATTTATTGTTTATGATTTCACCCTGCATTCGCTTAATTTCTAGGGCTATGGTATCCCTTTGTGCAGAATATGAACCTATAGATAAGTATAAGCCTTTTTTTAGAACTATTTTTCTTTTATATTACTTTTAATATAATATACTTTAATATTGTCTGCTTATCTGTATTATTGTGTTGCATTGTTGGAAAAGCCTGTCACCTAAGATTTTCAACGACATAATCACTCGGTAGCTAGGTTAGTTTGACAATAAAGAACCTTGAACCTTGATGATCAGGATTGCTGATAATGGTGAGTTTAACATTTCAAATGAATTTGAAAAATGCCGAAAGGGAAATGTACACTACAGCTCATACGATACATTTCCTGAAGAGATAAAGATCTGATAAAAGCTAGTGGAGGTATAATAGCAAAAGTGTGACAGGACCCACTTTTGTTTTTTCTGTTAACACGTCACCAACCAGTTGTTGCTTCTGCCTCTTAGACATTTGTGGCTTCTTTTTACTTCCTTGAAACCCTTCACTTATTACACTATTGGCATGTAGTGTGCTGACTTCTCTAATATCTTGTCTTGCTGCTGTAAGGCAGACTGTAACCAAGTAGATTGATACCTCAACTGAATTTAAGTGTCCTTGTTGTTCCCTTCGCTGACGTCGGCTGAGTCGGCCCCCTTCTCATTTATTGTATTCATTAGGTTTGCAGTAGATGCCAGGACAAGGGACTCAGCCAGACTGGCCCAAGGTGAAACTACCTTGTAAAACTTTTATTTGTCTGTTGAACTGTTTGTGCTTACAGTGCAACTGAATAATGTGTGTCTCTCAGATGTGCTGTGGTTGTGGAAGAGAGACTGGCAGCGACATGGAGTCCAAAAGAGACTAAAGTTTTGAAATTCCTGGAAATGCACATTTAATTTATAATGAATCCTTTTTGACTTTGTTGCTTTTGTCAGTGACAAAGCTACAGTATCTGCCCTTCTGTGCTGATTGATCTGTGTCCTGCCACACACACTTTTAAAGGGGTAGAGGCATCTATCTTACAGTGACTACTACAATTATATTCACACAACAAAACAGGTTATTGAGAGCAATCAGTTTAAAGTAAAATAGTACATAGAAGTGTGTTTCTGTGGCCTTGGCTGATACAGTATATTGGTAAAAAAGGAAAGTTCAGTTTGAATAATACATCCACTAGGTGCCAAAACACTGCACAGTTATGCAGTTTGCATTACCAAATAATTCTACCTTTTTAACCTGCACTTGAACCCAACACACGGTCTTACTGGATACTGTTGCATTTGGTTGTGGTCAAATTTGAGCGGTGTGTCTTTCCCAGAAAGCACTGCATTTTCTTGTGTACGGACCTCCCACCTTGCCAATGCCAATGGAAACATTTTCTAGCAGATTTCCTCTTGATGATGACTCACAATGTTCATTTTCTTGAGTTGCCAAAGTGTTTGTAGTTGGCTTTAATTTGTGTACAATTATTGACACTAAACGTGCACTCATTGGGATTATCTTAGTGACATATGGTATGCCCTCCTTTAGGCTGCTGCGCCTCTGACGTTTGTTCTGTATCTGTTGATTATATGTAGAGGAGAAAGCCAGGGTGTTCCTTATGCATTCAAGCGTTTCCCACACAGACTTCATTTGGGCGAGCCGCCTCGG